GTCTGTCAAGCTTGTCTTTTGGTTAAGTCTGAATGAGCAAGTTAATAAACCTGTGTAGACATCACCACTTGAGAAATGATGGGTCTTGACATTTAATCGCTGGTACACAATGTTCCATGAAGACAGCTTCCCTTAGAGTATGTTGCCTTTGCTTCCTTCCAGTTGCCTAATAATTCCCTTTAAACCACCAAATCCAACTGTTCTTGTTTTATTCTTTTGGGTGCCAAGCACAAGGTAGAGAAAAAATAAGGGGATAGATGTTCCAGGTCCTTTCCTAGCATTTTAATTTAATTCCACAGCGAGGTAGCATGTGGTATAAATTGGTTTGGAATAATTGCTGATCTGGCTTTCTCTGTAGAAAAGATCCCCTGCTTACTACTTAAGCAGCTGTTAGTTGGTGGAGACTCCCCTCACCCTCACCCACTTCCTGCCTGCTGATACTGCCTGAGCAGGGGTGTGGGAAGGAAGAAGAGGGCCCTATTTACCTGTAGCTGCCAAAGACCAAGGAGAAACGGGTTGGCCTGCTACAGCAGATGGTATCTGTTTTAGAGGATCGACTGATTTAATTTTTCTAGACATTTGCCATTGCTGGACTGGGATCTGGACTAACAGAAGCCATCGTGGTTAATCCTTTGAAGGTAGTAAAAACTGGCTTGCAAGCCGATCAGCCTCAGATGAAGTCAGTCCTAATTAAAGGAGATTTTCCTTTTAAGTTTCAAAAGATTGTCTTAATTGCAGTGATATATAGCACTTCAGAAAAGGTTGAAAATCCCTGTTACTCTAGTCTTTGTTTTTGTTTTGCTTTCTCACTATTCTTCCTAGAATGATGCAAAAAGATGGTGAAGAATAGGAGGAAATGAAAAAGATCTTTTTCAAATGTCCTATCAATATGGAGCATGTAAAACAGCCCCTATGAATACACAATGTAATGTACAGATGATGTATTACAGAATTGTACACTTGAAACCTCTATAATTTAATTAACCAATGTCACCCCAATAAATTTAATAAACTTAAAAAAAAAAAAAACAGCCCCATGGAATCTGCTCAAGGAAAATTTGATTTGTTAGACTAGGAAAATTACCAGCTAGAAGAAAATTTTGGAGCTCCCTATCCAATGCCTTATTTTCTCTACTGGGAAGCTTGTCTTAGAGCAGCAACGAGTAAGCAAAGGGATATAAAGGCCTTCAGCTGCAGTCTTTTATCAAGATGGCATGTAACCAGAGGATGCAAGTGGAACAGAGCACCAAGGAGCATTCACAAGAATGAAAATAATGAGTTATCACAGCACCTCTACTCATAGCTAATGTTCTTTTTTTTTCCCTCTGCCTTCAAGGAGGTTCTACACTAAAGCCAAGTAAGAGCTGTTAATGTTTTGCATGTGTTAAGGCCTTGCTAGAACAAGGTAAACACTCTTCCAGCCCAACATAAGAGTGATATGTGTATTTATTCCCAACTCATTTACATAAGTGCAGTCCGTGTAAATTGTTTGTGTACATATAGCCATTTTTTAAGTGGAAGAGAAAGGGGCACTTGTTTGTGATCATTTCTTTTGCAGAAATGGGGTCATTTACTTTGCACCAAACTGGATTCATTGTCAAATATTAGACAAAATAAACTCTATTAGGTACATTATAAAATATTTGCCATCTTTAACTAAGTTGGAACTTAGCAAATTAGGGATCGCATATGTCAACATGTGTCAGCATTTATTTCCAGCGACTATCAGGATTCAGTAGCTGAATTGAGGTGGCACTTTATAGGCAATATTGATCAAATCTAAAGTAGTTAGTAGTACATAATCACCCATTACAAAGTAATGGGACTATGCCTATTGCAAAAAATATCTGAAAGAGATAATGCAATAAGAATAGCAAATTTGGATCTAGTTATTTAAAAATAACTACCAGTCACTTTTGGCAATGCAGTTATTTCCTGTGTGTTTTGTCTAGGTCCCATTAACTCCAAAGCCTTCCTCCACTGACTAGGACTTTCCTTTATCCAACAAAAGGGTACCTTTGGTTCGTCTGTACTTGTGTTGAATTCTTATAAATATTAGGTGTGCCACTTTAGCATTTGTACAGCCAAGAATAATTATTGCTTTCTTCACTCTGAGGTTTTGTAGATTGTCAAGAAGTATGGGTGGAGAAGGATAAGAGGAAAAAAAGAAAGAAAGAGAAAGGGATGAAGAAAGGAATTATTTTAATGCCCAAAGCATTTACAAATTATACTCTTTTTAAGAAAAAATGTTGTAATCCAAGTAAAAAGAATGCATATTTATGTTAGAAAACACCAAAAATCTTATATTTCTGTGTATACATGTATACTTATATATGTGTATAAATGTACTAATAATGATCTAGATTCTAGAGCACCGCTGTCCAATAGAAATGTAATGTGAGCCACATTTTCTAATAGCTATATTCAAAAAGGTAAAAAGAAGCAGATGAAATTAATTAAATGCTATATTTTACTTAACCCAGTATATCCAAAATATTATCATCTCGACATGTAATCACTATAAAAATTATATGAGATAATTTACACTCTTATTTTCATACTTAGCCTTTAAATCTCATGTATTTTATGAGTATGAGCACATTTGAATTTGAACTGGGACATTTAAGTGCTCCATAGCCACATGTGAGTAGTGACTTCCTTATAAGAAAATGTAGATCTAGAGGAATTCATACAAACTTCTCACTGGTTACTTCTGGAAAGGAGATTGGAGTCAGGGAGAGGAAGGCAAGAATTAAAGGAAAGGGCTTTGTGTAGCTGAATGTTTACCATGAGAATGTATTCAGTGTTCTGTGAACATTTACTTTAAAAAGTAACTATATAGATGTCCAACCAATGTACTGTATACTTGAAACTAATTTAAATAAATAAATTTTTTTAAAAAAGAAAAAATGCATAAGGGAGAACCCATTCTAACTGCTGGTTTTTAGCACAGTCCTTTTTTTCTCTTTTGCTTACACCTGCCTCTCCCTTGTCTCACCATCACTCTCTGAAACCCGTAGTTACAAGATATATGTTCCATATATTTCTCATTGCTTATATAATCATAAAAATATGTATACAAAAAAAGTAACAGTTGCTTATTGTAGAAATTTTAGAAAATACAGAACAGTATAGAGAAAAGTAAGTAATCCAAAAGAAATGTTCTAATGGCTCTTCGAGGATCGAGCCTGCTGTTGGGGAGAAACTTTATAGCTGATCCAGGTGGGAATGACTTGCTGACCCATCTTAGGGCTCAACCAGGTTCCTCTTTTGTTAGGGAAGAATAGTAATAGCCACACCAAATTCTGTAATGAGAGTTAAAAGAGAGATATGGGTGAAGTCTGGCATACAGTGATGGTTTAACGAGTGTTAGTAGTTATTATTACAACAGGCTTTTTATGAGAATTTAAATGTAATAATATATGCAGAAGTCTTAACACAGTGTCTGGTACATGGTAGGCACTTAACCAATGATAACTATTTGTCGATGCAAGTCGATCTTATAAATCCTTACGTTTAAGTAGAGACAGATTTATCCTGAGATATTGCCCCGATTAATATTGAGCGGTCACAGCTGACTCCAGTTGTGGGCATAAAAACAGCTTACTGGGTAATGGTCCGTCTTCTTTAAGTCATTCTCAGCTGCCAGCACAGCCTGAATTCTTTATCAGGGCTTAAGGGCTGGCAGCCTAGTTATAGCGCTTATTGACAAGGTCTCTATACTCAGCTGAGGGTCCACTATTATAAACAATAGCTGGGTATCTGATTGCTATAAATAACTAGCACGGAGCAACAGAAGTTAGAGATGAAACTAAAAATATTCGAAGCCACATTGGAAAGAATTCTACCACAATCAAGATATTCTTCCTGTAAAATAGCTGTATAAAGTTAATGTGGATTCTCGCTCAAGACTTCGTAGTCCCTTCACATAGAGGTTGTGAACTAGGTTCACATTCAGCCTTTTCAGTCGATTGCAGCTGCCAGCTGTGGTGGAGCATTCGGTGGCTGGGTGGCGAGCAGGATGGCCACATGGCTTGGCAGAACCTTTAAGAAAAGCAAAGCGGTTTTTCCAAAGGCTTATTTTGCAGGTAGATAACTCTCGTTCTGCCAATACTAGGAGTTTTTTCAGGCAGCATGTCTACCGTTCAGCCTTCCTGCCCGCTCCTGGATCTGAACTAGTATGGATCCTACACAATAACTGTGGATTTTCCTATTTTGTCAGCCTGAAGTAAGTCACAACGTGGTCCTTTAAACATGAAAATTTCATAAGAAGTCGCTGCAGTTGAGACTGAAGTAAAAGACAGCCTAGGGCAATAGTAGTCAATATTACACTTAATATTGCACTTAAAGTCTTAGAGGCGTTGGCAGAGTGATGAAGTTGAAGCAAAAGGACTGTCGTGGTCCCAGGTGCACAAATCATCGTCTTGAAGGAGGTTGTGGAATGTAAGTAGATGCCCCCTTGGTGCTCTGGGGAGGGCATGGCTGGCAGAGGGCCAGAATGGGACCCTTTGAAACATGAGATCCAGGACAGGGGCCCCTCTAGCTGGGGTACAAGGGCATTACTGGCTGAGAGCAGAGGCTCTATGTGTTATGTTCTTGGAGCCCCGAGTGCAGTTCCC